AAAAAAAAAAAAAAAAAAATCTGATAGTGCAGTGTTTTCAGATATTCTTTATGGGCCAAATTAGATGTTTTATGATTAAAAAAAAAATTCAATTAAAAAGCCAAAGAGATTAGCCATTGTCATATAACATAATAAGGGATGTTATAGGGAGAGCAGAGGAAAAAATCTCATCACTTTTCATTGCTGCACCAGTACCTTGTAGAGAATATTGCCATCCTCCATTAGTTTATTCAGCAGCAGTATCATAATGTCTGGCTTGCCTTGTGCCATGGCCCACGTGGCAGGACCTAGAACATGAATAAATAACATTTAAAACAGATAGACAATTACACTACAGTGTTTAATTCATAAAATGCCTACTGTTTTCTTTTTAAGTGGATTATCAAACTAGACAACTTTCAGAGGAAGGTGTTTTCAATAGAAAAGTACAAGACAGTCAGCAACGCAATCTGACTGCTCATTGTGTCAGGTGTGACAAAAAAACGCAATCTCACCCAATTTTGCTCCTTTCTTCAAGAAGCATATCACCACCCCAGTATTCCTGCACCCAATAGCCCTGTCCAATGGCCTCATGCCATTGTTATCAATATGCTCAATCTGGGCCCCTTGCTCCATGAGAAACTGCACCACCTGGGCATCGCCGAAGAAAGCAGCTAGATGTAGAGGGGTGCGCCCAGAGTTGTCTGTGTGTTCCAGAGCAGCGCCATGTTCAAGAAGAGACTGGGCGATGTGAAGATGACCTTTGAGACAACCCCAGCATAGGGCAGTTAGGCCTTCATTGTCCACTTGTGCAAGAGCAGCTCCTAAAATACACAGAACATTAATATATCATAATCTATCTGATTGATACACATAAAGATACATACAGAAAACCAACCATGCACAGAACACGATAGTACAACTATAAATAGTTTAAAATCACTTCACTTTCATGATTCTACCTAACTTGCTACTCACTTTTCATCCCCTTTGATAGCAACATCTCTAGGATGCCCAAATGACCCTCACTGGCTGCTATCATTAGTCCAGTGCGTCCATGGCGATCACTGGTCTCTATGGAAACCCCAGCTGCCAGCAGCATATCCACTGTCTCCCAGCAACCAGCTTTGACAGCACAGAGCAGGGGAGGCAGGCCTGGACAGAGAAGAGAAAGACAGCAAATTAGGAAAATTTCACAATTTTCTTCTTTGATCCTAGGGCGAGATTGTGGTGGTAGTATAAACTACGTAGCACACCTCATTCTTGTAACTGATGACATTCTAATGTTCCAACAAAACAGGAGTAGGGAAGGGAGGAGCTTCCATTTTTGTCAACTTAAGAATATCACAGTTATCTGAAACTGCATATAAACAGGGGAGACATCACAAGGGGTCATATCACAATTACACAAAAGTAAACCTTTTGTATATCTTAAAGACCAATAAATTATTTTTGCTATATGTTTTTTATTCAATTACCTTTGGCATTGACAGATTTGGGGTCTGCCCCTCTCCTGAGCAATAAGCCAATGATCTCCCTGTTTCCATTCAGACAAGCAGACGTCAGTGGGGTCTCGCCTTGGAGGGTGTCAGGATTGTTAATATTCAGACCATCGTGTCCCAGCTCATGCATGTCCAAGAGGAACTCTACCAGCTGAAATGGAAAATGATATCCTTTTCTATTGACAGCAGTGATGATTTTTTTTTCATTAAAACTTCATCTCCAAATACAACAGAAATATGTGAAATTTTACACCTCGTACAAAAACATTTACCTTTAGTTTTATGAGAGTGAGAATTACTTCATTACTAAAGACATAGCTTATGTTAAATTTGTCTCCTTTGCATAGGCTTAAGAATTAATTAAATATCAATTAAAATGGATTACAATAAAGGAATTGTAAACAAATTTTGAAGCAAAAGGCGCCAAGCAGGGCCACATATTGCCTTATTAGCTCCCATGCACAGATTCACTATCAAAAACTTCTCAAAAATATTTTGTATTTTGAAAGTTATCATATACCACAATTCAGAAAATGACTGAGCGATAAGAACATCAGAACTTACACTCCGATGCCCTTTGGAGGTTGCTGCCACCAGTGACTGCAGTAGGGCCTCAGTCAGGGTCACCTGACCTTCTTTTGTCCAATCACATTGCAGCAGCATGCTGACTGCATCCAGCTGGCAATTTATAGCAGCGTGGACAAGTGGACACTGGCCTGCATTGTCCGTATGAGTGACCTGGGGACAGAGGCAAATTACAACTTTACTGACAGGCAATGTGCATTATTTTCCAGAGATCATACCTTTTTCAATGCAATCAATCCCAGTAAGTTTAAAAAACATTTGATGAAAAACATGATTCTTAATACTCAGTTAATCTATTTTGCCATTTAAAAGACAAAATGCTGGTTTTTTTTTATCAAATTGTCAAAAATTCAGTATCATTCTAAGAAACTTGATATCCCACAAAATTTACTATTGGGCATCTGTAACATGTATCATTCTCACCATAAACCTATTCACACTCACTTTGGCTCGTTTCGCAAAAAGCATGCGTATGACCTCTGAGTGACCCTTGGCAGCTGCATGACACAGGGGGGTCATCCCATCATCTCCTGGGACATCAACCTTGGCATGAAACTCTAGTAGAAGAGAGACCATGTCTACAAACCCCTCTCTGGCAGCCACGCACAGGATGGGTGCATTGCTGAAGAATTCCGTTTTGGCATTGGGAGATGCTCCAGACAGCAGGATCAGGCGACTGACCTAAAGGCAATGATAAAAGTGAACATTTTAAAAAAAATTCTGAAAATGCAAGTGCCGAGGGAGTGCAGCTCTATATAGGAGGGGGGAGGGGTCCTGGGGCTTAAATACAACACCCAAATATCCAGATAAATCCAGATGAATTTAATCCTTATAAAAGCAGAATAAAAGCAAAGGAGCAAAACTTGTAAAAATGTATTGCCTTTTATTATTTTTTGTGTAAATGTATCATAAATTATAAAAATCAACTAAACCAAAAAGTTTGACACCCCACTTCCTGGAGCACTAAATATATTCTATTGCTGAAATAATGCATAAAAGATCTTCCAGTTATCCAAGCCGTACCTTTACATTTGGCGAGAACACATTCCGTTGGTTGGACAAAGCGGCGCTGAGATTCTCCGAACTCTGGCACATCCAGTAGGCCTGCATGTCCCGGGAGGAGTATCCCAGCTGCTTGCTAATGGTCTTGTAGATGTGAGCCTTGAGAATGTGGTGGCCAAGTTCTACCGTTTTCTCAGCTCCCAGGGGGGCATTGACACGAGACAGGCGGAACGCCAAGAGGGCATGACCTTGCCTGAAAGGGGAAAGGTAGATGTATATTTAGTCATGAAAATGTACATGTTTCATGTGCTTAGTGTATAAATCTGCTCGTGTGATTTTGTTTGAAATGTGGATGTATCTTAGGTCTGCAGGCATGCGCTCAGGCATGCATGCGTACACATAATTATGAATACAGATGGACAGACAAATAAACAGATTAATGAAAATATAGATATCAATTTATGTTTTTGAGTTAGCCAATTTGTTTCAAAATGCACGACACAACTGACTTGATTAAATACATAGCAAAACACTTAAAAATATGAACATTCATGAAAGCCATTCCTGTTAAATGTGACTACAACAAATAAATACATACATGACAGTAATGACAACATTCATAGTTTAAGTCACTAAGTATATAAAAACAAAGTAAACTTTCCAGTTAGTTGATAACCTTGGCTCATCCTAACAACTTTCCATTGCTCTTTCAAAGTCTTATAAACTTATGACTTTGGTTTTTATAAACCATATCAGCTTTATACTGTTTCTTTTACTGTTTAAAGATTATCTAAAAACTACAGGAAGCAAAACGAGCCAAGCTATATAATGGTGCCATGGTTTGTGTTACAATATTCAAAGTGAAGAGACTGGGTAACATACACATAACATCAGTACAAAACATTATCATTCCTTGAAGAACAAGTGCACTTAAATGCATCATGCATATCACGTTCCGAAACACCTTACCACATGAAAAACTGTGCTTCTACAGGCTATATATTAGTGCTGTTAGTGAAACATAAGATTTATTGAAAGGAGGGTGGAGAAACAAGTACTAGTAACATTCCAAAAACATCAGATCCAAAAACATCTGTCTTCTTCTATATCATTCTTGTAAACAAGGTTCAGTCCCGCATTCCACTTCAACTTGCATAAGAATGCATAAGAACGATGACATGCAAACCAACAAATTACTCCAGTAAATAAATTTTGTCTCCACTTGACCTCACCTATAGTCATACTCATTATTCCTGTGTAGTTTTAATAAATGGATAATCACATGAGTTATTATTTTTAAAAATAAAAACATTAGAAAACTATAGAATTTTGGGTCTAATAGACATGCAATGATTACTACATATTCTTTAAATTATGCATACTGTTTGATGTATAAAAATTATCATGAATATAACTCATAAATCTTGGACTCACCTCAAGTCACAGAGATATTTGGTACTTTCTGCCTCTTCCCGGCGAATCAGCCACTCCCTGAAGGCAGGGTGGAAGAACATGAATGAACTGTCCCGTCGTTTTAACAAAAAGTTTGACACAACTTCCATGCGCTGCTGAAAATCATCCCACGGAACATAGCGCTGGACGTATGCTGAATTAACAGTCTCGTATATTTCCTTTGTTGTGAGGGGATACAAAGAGGCCAGACACACGTTCAAGATTGGGCAGACCTTTTCAAATGAGCGTAAACTTGGGAATTTGAGATTGAAATGAAGCAGGAACACTTCTGCCATGTTCTGTGGTAGGATCTTATAATTTGAGCTCTTGAGAACTATTCTGCCCTGTTCAATAAGATCCAGCGTTAACTTACAGTACAAGAAGCAGCCTCGACTCAAAGCACTTAGATGTGAACTGAACTTCATTTGGGTAGTGCTTTCAAGCTTGCCATTGAGTGCAACATTGTTTTTGACATCCAGTGTCGTATTAATGCGGTAGTTTATGTAATCCTGTAAATCCCTATTGATATGCTCATTGGATGCAATCTTATCCAAACTGATTTTGTGTAAGGGCATCATCTTGGTCAAGTCCTGCAGCGAAGTCCGCACTGTGCAGATGACTTTCAGCCAAGATGGAAACTTGTTGATGTGCTTGGTCAGAAAAGAGGCTATGGTGTCCCCATAGTCTGGCTTGTGGAACTCTGCCTCGTTGAGCGAGTCTATAAGAATGATACAATTTTCCACTGTGATCTTCCCGTCTTGGTGCAGTTTGTGCAGAGGTTCCAGTACTCCCTTTACAAAAGATCTTGCAGGGTCCTGAATACACTCCCTCATGCTCAGTATGTTCTGTAAGTGCGGCTCCTGGATGAGTAGATCCCTGTAAGCAGAGAGCTGAGGCGCTTGCGACAAATACGCTGCTGTGCTATGCACATACTCTGGCACCATACATGTTATGTTATTGTCTGCCTGACAGAAATGGAACGCGACCACATCCGAGGCTATTGTCCGTAGGGCGTCGTAAGTGAAACTGAGGCTCAGCGTTGAAGCAGCGAGATAGCTGCTCTGTGAGCTACTGAGTCCGTTAGAGCTTAGAGTCCCACTGGGACTGTTATTTACACTGCCACTTAAACTACTGTTGCCGCTCCCACCTAACTGACGGCTCTTGGAGGCTCCTGTCACTTGGCACAAATCTAGAAATTAACACGATTGGATAAAATTAATGTGAATTGATAATGTATGAAGCCAGATGTATAAAAATGCCACTTTTTTTCTCTTACTTACTTAGATCTAGCCATTCAGTTATTCTATTAGATCTAAATTTTACCTTTGTTTTCTAGGAAGCCACATTTTCCTTCTCCAAAGCAGCTCTGGTCCACCAGCTGTTCTACTATGGAGGTCTTTCCACACCCCACGCCCCCTGTGACCACTATACCATGGTGGCTGGCCTCCCCATATAGCTCCTGGGGGGTAGAAAATCAGGGTTATTATTTACAATTCTCAAACACCTTACTCATTCCAAATTTCCCATTCTTTGAAGTGATGACTTTAAGGTAGGCACTAAAGTAACTTCTGAGTCACACAAACTATTTCATACAGATTTCAGTCAAATCATAATTAAGTATATTTATCAAATCATGGTTTTGAAATGTTATCACTAAATGTGTTCAAATTCTGTGAGAAATATGGTTTTGGACAGGGAATGAGAACGCCCAAGAAATCCTGGGCTTTCAATGTCATAATGGAAAATGCAATGAAGGCACTTATTAATTATAGTAGAGTACCAGTAGTAAAAGATAATTAAAACAACTCATTACACTTTACACTCAGATTTATATCACCTATATTATGAAGACAGAATATGTAGTAGAACCCCCNGCCTTTGTTAGGCAGGCACTCTCCGTTTGGCATGAATCATTTCTCAACCTCCTACATAAAATCGTGTCGAAATGTTTGGCATTCATGTCATCATTGCAAGGTCAGGTACTTCAAAAATTTTAAAATACATAGTTAGTGGACGTTGGCATTTACTCTCTCTCTCTCTCTTTATCCAGTTGCCTTGATTTTCATTGTTCCTTGTTTCAGCAAGCAACCAGTATCACAATTAACACCCGTAATCCCGGCATATTTGAAGCATCGAGCTGGGAAGGTGGTACATGTCGGATCATCAGGGTACCATGCAGTAAGGACGGCGTCTGCACAGTGGTAAAACCACCATCCACCTTGGTACAAAATTGCACAGTTTTGTCCACTGCGGTCATTGTCTCTGTCGTGTGTGGTAAACTGATGGTCGTAATGATTTATCATACTATCTTCAGATACGTTGCCAACGAAGCTAGTATCGTTTAGATATAATGTGTAGTTGTCACTTTCAGGGGACAAATAAAAGTTATCGTACTCAACCCAGTAGGAGTTGTTGTCATAGGAATCGAGTTCAAATCTTAGTTTGTACTTTTTATTGTAGGTCATAAGGTGGACAATCTCATTTCCAAGCCAGTGGTCACCAGAAATGTCTCCAAATCCATCTCGGTACTCTGCCCACGTGCGGTGAAATGACAGCTCAGGTCCAGTACGTCTGTGGATTACAGTCCAGCCATCTTCACACCACATGAAGCGAAATCTACCAGTGCTGGAATCAGGGCATCTGATTGCTGTCACACCTTGAAAATAAGATATCAAACAAAAGTCTTTACATTTACTTGTATAATATGTCTTAGAAGTTTGTTCGAGTAACTCCTCTGAATTGCAGATGATAAACCTGCCAAGTCCTTGATTTTCAAACTTCCATATTATGTGCATCCATTTTGATATTGTAATATCCAGCACAGGTTTGGTAAAAAAAATTACCAATGTAATCACTAAAGCTCATTCATCTATCCGGATACCACGCTCACATAAATTGTCACGCGGTAAAGACATACGTATAAATACGTAACGTCTAACATTTGTAATTGCGGTTAACTTTAATCAAATGCCGCTGAATTTCAGGCGCAACAAGAACGGATGAACAGGAATTCGAAAACGTACTATAATGTATAAATTAGCGAATAAGCATATTTTGGATAGATGATTCACTTTAATAATAAATTAAACGATTTATAAATAGATTATAAATAATTAATCAAACACATGTATATTATACATGTGTATACAAATATTCACTATCATGTAGGATATATTGATGGTTTTGTATTATTATTATTATTATTATTATTATTAAAATCTTGCAATACATAAGAATAACCATGAACGAATATTTTACTGTGACATATATGTCAGTAACAGCACTTTTAGACAACTAATATTTTGTCTCTACTTCATACCATATTTATATTGTATTCGTGTAGACCGTGCATAAATACACTTACCTTTCGGAAAACCTGAGCTTTCACTGCAGTCTTCAAATACCTATAATAGCCAAAGTAAGAAGGAAATATCACAATTACCACACTTATCAAAATTAAATAGACGTCCGAAAAATAGAAATTAAGAATTAGATAGAAATTAAAGTGCTAACTATTCGCAAATGCTTCGTATTATACGTCTGGGTATCCAGCGTGTACATGTAGTTATGTATTATAACCATATGTGAAATGTTTTTATTCCGGTTCAAATGATCAAAACAAAAGCATAAAATACCTTGGCATAATACTTCAATCCTGTGTCAGAAATTGAGCTGTTTGCAAACCCATTCGTTTCTCCTCTGTAAGCAGTACATTCGATAAATCTGGTAGTCGTAGTTCTGACGTGAAAGTATTGGCAGTATTCATAAAGGAGACAGAGTAACGCACATCTCCCGTTGCTTTCTACAGTGAACTGCTGGATTCCATATGTTATGGACACAAAATGCGTTAAACTTTCTTGCAACACCAATTGTCTGCTTACATTTGCGAAGCTACCTGTAAAAGAAATTATGTTTACAGTTTTTCACGACTTACATGTACTTGCCTTTATCAACACTTGGATCAGTTAACCATCTGAAACAAAACATAATTTTCAGCCAACATCAAGGAACTTCTTTCAAACAGTAAAAAAGAAAATAATTACATAAAGCAGCAGAAAAGAGGAATGTCTTCCAATTTTCCATTTGCGTAGTAGAAATATGTCTTCCAAGTCAAAACCCCGGGCCTCAAATCAAATCTACTGATGTTAAACGATGGTGACAAGCTTTCTCTAATCTACAGGACGAAGGTAGAAAAATGAAATGCAGTTGACGCACATCAAAGTGAAAGTTTGCATGCAGTATCCCAATTCGATATCATATTTTTGGACGTCTAGCCTACGCATTACAAATAAAATTAACATTAGATTTAAATTTCAAAGCTTAGTAAACTAGTGAACAACATTCTTTGTTTACAGACGGAAAGGTCTCACTTCCATAACTCGAGAATTGCGTGTATTCAGTGTCAACTGTGTGTAGATTGATTTCATAAAAAGACCTTGCACATACAACAGTATTACATCAATATTTTTTTAATTGATTGCTTTAGATGTTCCACGTAATTGCTTCCCTATAGGATCTGTACCTCGAATGATAAGTAATTATAAATGACATTATCCAGTCGCCTTTATTGCCAAGATGGCTTACTTAGGAAACACAATAAGGAAACACAGGACACTTTAACTATGCGCTATCCATAAAAAAAGTTAATTAACCATTTCTCTGGTAACTGACGTACATCCACCAACCCTCTCGCTCACATGCTGGAGGAAAATCTCAGGCACGTACAGGCGTTGACATACAACTGACACGCACAGTCTACCACTACAGAGACACACACTGTATACTAACGATGCCTTTGAATAGTACATTTTTACGTTTATTTATATATACACATGTTACAAACAGACAATTGATTCCGAAACAATATGTATTGCTGTCTTGGCGGTTCTTTGTCAATTATATATATATTTATATATATATTCACGTCAGTCATATTCACGTTTGCAAAGTTGTTTTTTAAATAAAACATCAAAAGTCTTTTTCAAGACAACGTGAAATTATCGGTTTCAAATAGAAAGAAATATTTACGTAAAACGACAGAGAAAAACATCTTTGAAAATCCCATACTCATTTTCAACTAAAGTTTTCAATCCCATAAACCTTGTAAAATGGAGAATTTGAAATGACGCTACATATTGCACTGAAATACTTGACAACAACAGAAAAGGATATACAATAGACACGATTCGTATCTGGAAACAAATACCCGTCTGTCTTCGGGGTGGAAGTTTTCCAATTGTCCTATTCAACATAAATCCATGACGGCTACAAAATACTCGCAAACATCGTTTACTTATGTTGCATAAACTAAAGCCCTTACAAAGAGATGGGTATGTCAATATTTTTTCCTTTCGGAAGGAAACCTTTATTTCACTCACCTTAAATAGTGTTCTTTTGCTTATGAATAAATCATGGTGTGGCCTGCCTTATGATCGATTAAGTAACTATGTTATTGTATACGAAGGCTATCATTAATATCTATATTGGTTGCCTCAAGTGTTTCTTCCGAAAACCTTTTATAAATTGTAATTAAGCGTTCATAAAAGGTTTTCTTAATGTTTCTGGAAGCGTTACTTGCAATATACAAACCAGTGCATAGCTTCTCACTCTAATGTCTACAAACTATCATATATATGGTGAAAAAATTCCTTTCTAACCATCAACCCTGGCGTGTTATATATTGTGGAAAAGAAATGATGGAGACAAAGAAGGCATCAAACTGTCGTATTATAACAAAGCAGTTATACCCAAATCTCGCTTGCAATGAGTGGAGAACCACCAAAACAACGCTATCGGCATTACATGACGTCATACGGGTTTAGAAAAGGTGACAGATTCTTTTTTTTAGCGTAAACGTTTAACTCAGTGCGTCGGGAATGTCGTCTTTATAAGCAATGCAAAAGCAAAATGCAAAACAATAAACTGTAATCCGACAGAATTAAAGAGAAAACAACCAGGAAAATATCATGGTGTGACCCGTCTCGCCTGCCCTATGATCAATTAAGCAACTAAACACGTGTACGCGAATACATATATCATAATAAACGAAGGCCATCATCGATATCTTCATTGGTTACTTTTAGTGTATCCTTTCAAAACCATTTATTCAAAATCAAAATTTAATGTAGATATTTTTTAAAGCTGAGATTAAGTATTTCTGTTAGTATCCCTCGGCATTTTGATAGAAATGAGCTTAAATACTGCTTCGCTTGTGAATAAATTAATCTCGAATAACTGGATGAAAGACGGTTTAATATATGCAAAACCCGTCTACAAAAAACAGCGAATGACTCTTATCATAGACTATACTGTCTTCTAGAGCGACAAACTTTCAAATATTCTCTACGAGTGTCAGAGACTTAACTCGTGGCTCCTACCGGTAGAATCAGCTTCGTGCCTGCATACATGACAGCTTTTATTGCCAAAAAACAATAATTTAGCATAAACGCAATTAACCTTAACTACATAGCAGTCATTGCGGAATATATAAGTAGGCACCAAAACAATACATGTGCCAAGCACCCTTGCCTTTGTTAGGCAGGCACTCTCTGTTTGGCATGAATCATTTCTCAAGCGCCTACATAAAATCGTGTCGAAATGTTTGGCATGCATGTCATCATTGCAAGGTCAGGTATTTAAAAAAAATTTAAAATACATAGTTAGTGGACGTTGGCATTTACTCTCTCTCTCTCTCTCTTTATCCAGTTGCCTTGATTTTCATTGTTCCTTGTTTCAGCAAGCAACCAGTATCACAATTAACACCCGTAATCCCGGCATATTTGAAGCATCGAGCTGGGAAGGTGGTACATGTCGGATCATCAGGGTACCATGCAGTAAGGACGGCGTCTGCACAGTGGTAAAACCACCATCCACCTTGGTACAAAATTGCACAGTTTTGTCCACTGCGGTCATTGTCTCTGTCGTGTGTGGTAAACTGATGGTCGTAATGATTTATCATACTATCTTCAGATACGTTGCCAACGAAGCTAGTATCGTTTAGATATAATGTGTAGTTGTCACTTTCAGGGGACAAATAAAAGTCATCGTACTCAACCCAGTACGAGTTATTGTTATAGGATTCAAACTCAAGTCTTAGTTTGTACGTCTTATTGTAGGTCATAAGATGGACAATCTCATTTCCAAGCCAGTGGTCACCAGAAATGTCTCCAAATCCATCTCGGTACTCTGCCCACGTGCGGTGAAATGACAGCTCAGGTCCAGTACGTCTGTGGGTTACAGTCCAGCCATCTTCACACCACATAAAGCGAACCTCACCGTGGTCTCTGATCGCTGTCAGACCTAAAAGATATATATATATTTATATAGGACTGAATGATATTCGTAATTGTCCTACACAGGCTCCCTGCATTACAGGGCGAATTCCTGTCAGCTTCTTTATTTTCAAATATCCACGTTTGCCCTTTTGGACACATTTGACAGAAGTTAAAAACGTTCATTTTGGTATACGGAATTCTTAGTTACACGGACAGACAACCGCCGTAGTTCAAAGCCCGGCCTAACGTTTGTGTTTGGTGCGATAAACACCAATCAAACTCAAACATTCCCACATCATGTTCACAAATTCGTGTATATGAAACGTTAAATATGACACAAATACCTGGTACATGCTGTAAGCCATGTCGCATGCCTTTATGCTCAAAATAATGCAATTTACAAAGATAAAGATTTTAACTACCTTTTAACTGCACGCGCGCACGCGCACACACACACACACACATGTAGGTTTGTACCTTTGACCATTCAACTGACTTTTTAGCTTTCTAAGATGGCAACAAACATGTTTTAGGACATAAATATTTATATTATCTCCAACACGCCATATCGTATTGCACACCGTTACCTACCTTTAGGATAATCCGACTTGTCACTGCAGTTTGCAAACACCTATCAAAAAAAAAAGACAGTGAATGCAGATAAAAAGACCTTTGATGCACAGGCGAAACACATTTCACACCTGTTCTAAGCGTTGAGGCTTTGTTATATATTCTTCAATTCTTCAAACATATACTGTCACGTCAAAAGCCTTAACTTAAGATATATTACAGCAAATGGAAAGAAAGATAGATACAAAGATAAGTAGGTAGATATGCGCTACATGCAAAGTTAAAATTGTTTTATGTGACCAAAACAAAATGATGAAATACCTTAGCATAATACTTCATTCCTGTCTCAGAAATTGAGCTGTTTGGAAAAGTATTCGTTTCTCCTCTGTAAGTAACGCATTCGATAAATCTGGTAGTCGTATTTCTGACGTGAAAGTATTGGCAGTATTCATAGCGGAGACAGAGTAACGCACACCTCACGTTGCTTTCTACAGTAAACTGCTGAATCTCATTCTCAGGAGATACGATCCCAGACGATGTGGGCATAAACTGGGTAAAACTTTCCTGCAATGCCGTTTGGTTGCTTTCGCGCGTGAGGCTACCTGTAATTAAATAGTGTTTAGATTTCTACAGTCTTTTTTATCTTATAAATCAAATGCTCATACCAACATTTAGATCGACTTATAACTTGACGCTCCAATTCAGAATGTTTTTATTTACAAAGACATGTATATTTAAACAAAATATATAATGTCTCTTTCAAGTCAACTTTAAATTACCGCTTTCTAATGGAAAAAATATTTACCTAAAACGACAGAAAAAAGAAACATCTCCGAAAATCCCATCTTCATTTTCAATTTACATCTTCCAACCCGTTAACTTTATAAAATATCGCAATAAAATACTTGACAGACTGACAAAGATATGCAGTAGACTCGTAACGTATGTGGAAACAAATACCCGTGCGTTCTCGGAGTGGAATTTTGCTAAATGTTCAATTCGACAGGACGGCTAGACTACACACACAAAACACTCGTAAACAGCATTTTTTACAATGTTACATAAACTTGAATCCTTACAAAGAGAGGGGATGTCAATATATTTTTTCTTTTTAGAAGGAAACTGTGAATCCATTCAACTTAAGTAGTGCTTTCTTTTGCTTACGAATTATTAATGGTGTGCTCCACCTCACCTGTCTTATGATCAATTAACTTAACGTGTGTACGCGTATGCATTTATCATTATATTTAAAAGCCAATATCGATGTCTTTATTCTTTTCTCCGACAAACCTATATAAACTGCTATGAAGTGATCATTAAATGCTTTTTTAATGTTTCTAGAACTTATAAATCTTAAGTACACCAATTAACAAAACGTGCTCTTACATTACTTACTTTATTAATAATATGGTGAAAATTTCCTTCTATTCCTTACAGAAATTTCCTTTATGTCCTATACATCTTGTAGAATCCTACAAGACGTGTTATATCGAATTCCCATGGGACGCAAGGTAGAATTCCTATAGATCCTATAGGGTTCCACAGACTCCTATAGGACGTCATATAGTCATACCGTGCCGTACCTGCATTATCTGTTCTGGAAAAACAATGATTGAAATACAGAAGGTACCGATCTGTTGTATGCCGTACATCTTAATCTTACCAGATAAAAAATGATAATGTACATGATACTTTTTTTTTCACTTTTTAGTTTGTAAATTTCGTTCTCTTTCAAATAACCAGACCAGTCTGCAATCACGTGCTCACAGGCATTTTGAGTCTGACTGGCGCCTATTCTTTTTTCTCTTCATATCATAATGTTATACATGTGACAAAATACAGGCATGTGTATGATTATTTTCCCAGTACAGGGTTGGCAAAAGTGTGAAGTCTAGAAATGGCATGAAAATAATTACACCTGCTAAAAGTTCATTGACAGCCGAGTGTGCTTCTAACCACGTGACATTTTTACCAGATCTTTTGATCTTAACACAATGCACGGACCTCAATTTGGAATAAATAGAATAAGATCAGAGAAAATGTCAGCGTAACGAGCGTTTAGCACATCGTCGTTAAGCTGCGTACACAAAGGCACTTGACCGAGTGCAGAATTCATTTTTCCGTCAGGACAAAAATTACAGGATCGTGCTGGAGAAAAGTGCACATAATTTATCTGCGGCCCCGGAGGCAGGTAGTACAATTATAGGTTACATTATGAAGAAATAAAAAAGCGTTTCTCTACAATGAACATTCCCCGGTTGTAGTGCCAGCATTCACAAGACTTAGAGCTTCGGATGGTGTTATCTACAACGAAGGATAGGCTACTCGTGACTTCCTCATTTTGCGAGAGGTATCTGCAAACCACGCCGTCGAATATAGGACATTAAAACTGTTTAGACACAGACGACTGCTGGTTTTGCTACGTATTTTATACTTCGCCAGAAAATGTTTAAATTTATTTTAGCGGCCGTGTTGCTGTTAGCATGTCTAAGAGAGGGGTATGGGGCTTGTGGGATCGCTCCACTTAAGACGCTCACCACACGTAAGTCCAATAAGTTACAGAAGACAAAGATTTTGCGTAGTTGAGTAATTACCAAATGCAACTCTTATCGTACACTTCCACGAGCAAATATAGACTTTTATGTTGCTCTTAATACGTGTCCTGATATATGTATACAGTGTATATACTGCGTATAAGGTTTAAATAGAATTACGAACTTTTACCAGTGCATGCAAATAATGTCAATCCATTTGTCTTTTTTTTTTCTTTGTATTTATATATCTTTAAATGACCACACAAATGATCATATTCTATTTTTAACGTGTGTTTTATTCTGCAGTACCTTCTTCGGATCTGTGTTCAAAACGAATATTGTAAGAACGCATCTCATCATCAAATACTGACAAAAGACTTTTCCGTTTTACAAATGCTTATAAGTACGAATTCGACCAGGAACGAGAAGTTGGTCGTTATGACGAAAGAAATTATTTTGATTTTTTTTCTACTTTTTCCCTGTCACGCTAGCCTTGGGACAGACGGTAGAGTACTGTGAGTGGGAAGGAAAGAAGATTGGCGTTGGAAGCAGTATTCGTCTGGTATCAGCCGGGGCGTGCTCCAGTGTCTCTTGCACAAAACATGGCATGCAGTTCTGTGGGTAAGTTGACATGGGCACGAATAGAAGCAACAGGCGGGTCTGTGGAACTCATTAAAGAACTATTAAAAATAATTTTATAAACATCAAAATTAAATTTTATTTTGCAATAATGGTGCATTTTTCCCTTTCTTTTATTTGTAGTTAAAAAAGAAGTTACAATATTATATAGTGTATCCATACCGGACTGAACGAGCGTTTTGAGCGGGCATACTGTAGACCCATATGAAAACTTGAATGTGAAGAAGCTGGCTCTTAGCCATGCCCAAAACGCGTTATCTTAGTCTTCCCCTGGGAAAAGTCAGCTGCTTCAGTGGCCACAATATATAGGGTCAAACAGGTTCAAACACAACTCTTGAAATGAACGAGCTCGTCGTTTTGTGTATACTCATTAAGTACCTTTTTATTTTACAATTAAAATCTTATAAATTACAGTTCATACAATCACCTGGAAAAAGAGATTTCTTTTCATTTATTAAAAGTAGAATTTTGTTTAAAGGCTGGCCTCTAGGACTCGCCCCCTTCCCTCATCGAATAACATAAGGAGTAGCTTACCTTGTTAATAAATAACAACGTACTGTCTCTGATTTATTACGGTTGATTCTTTTGTGTATATGCTTCTAAACTGTAAAGATCACACTTTGATTTCGACTTTACATGTTTTTTTTCCAGGGGAGGGGTATATTTTGGTCTGACAGACGATTGTGAAGCCACTTATGACGCTTGTAATTTGGTCTATGTGAAGAAAGATAATCCTCTGGAAGTTTGCAAAACTTCCCCCTGGAAACCATCATTGACGCCATCTATCGGAAAAAAAATAAACAACCGTGATCTCATCAATTAAAATCTAATAAAGATGTTATTTTCTAGCCGCATAATAGAACATGTTTGGGATTTGAATCAACATAAGAGAGATAAACAGGATGCATCGAGTCTGCCATTTGTCACTGTACCTAGCGGCTGTCAAAACACTAGCTTCAGATGTTAGTTATATACAAACATGTAATAACGCCAAACCTTTCCTTGTATTTTGTGTAAAAAGGGCGTGTTATTTCCGGAAATAAAATTTTGAACCGGTATGCCTTAAAGCGTGTTGTGTTGGTTTGAATAGATTGAAAACCATCATTACTTTCATGAAATTTCAAGACTCCATGTACGTCAACGACCGAATTACCGGTACCTCCATTTTGATGTTAAAAGATTAAATAAACTACATGTAAATATATGCTGATATTCTTTTGGACGGTTTTCGGTGTCACGTCCCCCATGATAGTTCGCTTCCGATTCAATTGTACAGGTAAGCCTCACCGTAGATTTTGACCCACTAACGACACTAACTAGCATAGCAGGTCAGGCTAACCGTAACCATTTTAACTAAATGGAGGGTGGACTTTCTGTTACACGGACCCTCAGTTTCGTTTCACCTGCATTATGAAGAAATGAAAAATGCGTTTCTCTGCAATGAACATCCCCCGGTTGTTGTGTCAGCATTCACAAAACTTGGAGCTTTGGATGGTGTTATCTACGACGGAGGATAGGCTACTCGTGACTTACTCATCTTGCGAGAGATATATCTGCAAACCACGCCGTTGGATATAGGACATTACAACTGTGTATACACAGGCGACCGTTGGTTTTGCTACGTATTTTATACTGCGCTAGAAAATGTTAAAATTGTGTTTAGCGGCCGTGTTGCTGTTAGCGTGTCTAAGAGCGGGATATGGGGCTTGTAAATTGGATCCACTTAAGACGCTAACCACACGTAAGTCCCATAAGTTACATAAGACAAAGATTTTGTGAGTGATTACCAAATACACCCCTTTTTAGTTTGTGCCTATCTTGCCGTACACTGACATGAGCAAATGTTTTAATGTTGCTCTTAATACGTATCCTCGTGTACATGTATGTATACAGTGTATATACTGCATATAACGTGTTGTAATGTTGTAAGAACGTATTTCGTCATCAAATATTGACAAAAGACTTTTCTTTTTTTACAAATTCTTATACGACGAATTCGACCAGGAACGAGAAGTTGACCGTGATGATGAAAAAAATTATTTTGAAATAAATTTTAACTTTTTCCCTGTCACACCAGCCTTGGGACAGACAGTAGAGTACTGTGAGTGGGAAGGAAAGAAGCTTGGTGTTGGAAGCTCCATACGTCTGGTATCAGCCAAGGGCTGCTACAGAGTCAATTGCATCGACCGTGGCCTTATGTTCTGTGGGTAAGTTGACATTGCTCGAATATGAGCAACAGGCGGGTCTCGGGCTCATTAAAAACTATTAAAAATAATTTTATAAACACCAAAATTAAATTTTCTTTTGTAATTTCTACATTTCGAGTTGCATTCCGGCTCATTCTAGCAGGATTTGAAGTGTCTTGCCATTTCGGTTCTCCCTCGAACGCGATCAGAATGTTTCGAATGCTGTCGGAATGCCCTAAGAATATTTAGAATGCAGTCATAGTGCAGTCAGAAAACACTAAGAACTCCTTTCGATATTTCTTAACTTGGAATGCACTTTGTAAGTTTTGAGCATGAGCAAAACATTCAGGCCGTCCACAAGAATGGGTAAAAATATTTGGAACGCACTCAGAAATTTTAGAATGCTTTATGAATATCCAGGAACGAACAAAGAATTGTCTTATCGACGGCATTCTTGCTCAATCAGCCTCTAGTGTGACGGGGCCTTTACTTAACAAGCTGGCTCTCTCCTCCAGTGGGCTGTATGTCGTCACCGGCCCACGATATCACGTAGCTCATTAAGTGCCAGACCTAGCTAATGCCCCTATTTCACACAGACCACGAATCCCACGAATCGCCAGGAATTGACATATTTTGGGATTGGTGGTTGAATCGTAATCAGTTCGTGAAGTTCTTAACAGATTCGTATATATTCGTAGTTCTTGCAATTCTTGATCAATCGGGAATTTGAGGCAAAATTTTTGAGCTGTTCAAAATTTTGGCCACGAACTCCCGATTCCAAAAAATCGTAGTTAATTCGTAGCAAATTCGTATTTCATCGTAACTGAATCGTAATCGATTCTTAGGCATTCGTATGTATTCTTATATCATTCGGGGATTCGTGAATCCCTCGATTGACCACGAATCGGCTACGAATCAGTCACGCATCCCACGAATATTCGCCGAAGCATGTACGGAGGGGAAATACCACGAAATGTCAAGAATAGTCCAGAAATCACTTTTATTCGTACATATTTCGTGCATGCATTCGGCGTATGCTTAACTGATTCCTTATTGATTCGTAACGCTCGTGCAGTATTCGTAATAGATTCTTGTAAATCGCAGTGAATTCTTGACAATATTCGTGCGATTCCAGCCGTATCCCACGAATATTCGTAACACTATCGCACATGTATCGTAACTGAATTGTAGAGCGTATCGAATTAGGCCAGAAAATTTGCAAAATCTCACGAATCCTGAAATTTGTCAATTCCTGGCGATTCGTGGTCTGTGTGAAATAGGGGCATAAAAGGGGTTCTTTTAAGCTCAACATTTAGGCCTACAAAATGACCTTTCAATTTGTGTATTCTGATAAATATATCATTAGTTGGGCATGTTTTAAAATTTACCAAATGACCTTCCAATGTGTGTATTTTGATAAATATATCATTTGTTGGGCTTGTTTCCCGAAGAATATGCTCCGTTCAAGCCATTCTGACGGTTAGACGCAAATCCTTTAATAAGTGGGATAAGTGGCTCTCTATGATTTATTTATATGATTGGTTATTTTATGTATAGGTCCATACATTGTACAGGTCACATACGTATTTTTTTCCAGAAATGGCATATATGTTCCCCCGTCAGATTGTGACGTCAGTTACGACGCATGTAACGTGGTCTTCGTAAAGAAAGATAATCCTCTGGAAGTTTGCGAAAACTCTCCCTGGCAACCATCCATGACGCCATCTATCGGAAAGAAATAATCAGTTACGAGCTGAACAATTACAATCTACTAACCATGCTATTTTCAGTCGCATAATACAACATTTTAGGGATTTAAATCAACATGCCATTTGCCATTCTACACATCCCCACCTAACGGCTTTCAAAACACCAGCTTCAGATGCTTGATACAAACAAGTAATAACGCCAAAGTGCTATTTCTGGAAAATAAATTTTTGAACCTGTATACATCAAAGCATGTTGTGTTGGTTTGTCATCAATTGAAAATCATGTTCATGAGATTTCAAGACAACGTCCACGACCAAGTTATTTCCATTTTGATGTTAAGAGACCAGGGCGGATCCAGGATTAGGGGGGGTGAGGGTTGGGGTTGGCGCGGATATGTATTCAAGCCAAACCTCCCCCACACTTACTTGGCGTGGGGTTTGGGGTCTGCGAAATTTCATGGTTTTTTAGGGGGGAATGGTGCCATTTGGTACGGTTTAGAACTATGACTCAGAAATCGAAAAGGGGGGAGGGGGTCAGGTCTAAATCCGCCACCGGAGACTAAATATAATGATATTGAAAATCCATAAATATAACGGTTTTTCTTTGTTGCAGTTTTGTTATTTGACAAGTAATACTTGACACTACTGTACATCTTGACAATAAATAATGCTCACGCAGCCAAGAATCCGCCAAACTTTCTGATTAAAGCAAGCTATATGATGCTGATGCCTTTCATGAAAAAATAAATAAATCAAACAGCTTTGGTAGTGAAATTCAACGAGTTTTTGTTACCTTCTGCTTGGACACAAAAATACTGATATAATCATACAGGTACAAGAGCAAAGAAACAACAACAAACGTGCTTTGCATAATATCTGGTATTCTGTATTCTTCATTTGATATAAAACAGTGTTTAAATACTGTACACACTCCATGGGCATTTATATATTATCAGTACAGCTAACCCAGTGTGTTTTATACCTAAACAGAATGTGCACGGAAAGCGAGGCTCATGATAAAAGCTACGGAACACAGTATAATAATATACAGTACAGAAACAGGACAACACACAAATCTTCCAGGTATATAAACACAGGCCAGGTGAGAAACAGATGGCTATATTACAATGAAGTTCATGATATTTCATATCATCAACAGTGCTGGCAACTTAATTTACTACATGTAAAATATGGAGGAACTGGAGCCTAAAAATGCACTGTCTTTGTGAAAACTTCTTCACAAAGGGGAGCACCTTGATACATACCTATAGTTGTAATGATATGAAACACATAATTTATAATTTATACAGGTTATTTAATGATCTGGCCTCTATGATAAACATATCTTGCATGCTTGAACAGTAATTTAGATCCTTTGCTTTCTGCACAAACTTCAGGGAATAAATAGAATTAAATCAGAGAAAAAACATTTACAAAGCACAAAATTCATATCAACTGAATCATAATGGTTTTTGTACATGTACATGTATTTTATATCTCCCGGAGTTTGTGATATATTTTCTAAGCAATATTTAACTGGAGAAGTCGTGCATGAACATTTCACACATAATCTGTGGCAGTGCCTTTCAACTCAATAAGTAGACCACTTCACGTATTATACATTCCACAAAACGATATCAACACAATTTTTTTCTGTACACTTTCAAAGTTCTACAAGCAAACTGTGCAATATTACAGATAAATTCAACAAATCCCATTTACAGACAGCTGTTTAATTTCTTTATATGGTACCAGTACATTTAAATGCACAATGATCTCAATATTTAACTGCACCCCAATATTTTTGAAACCACAGTGATTCAAAAAATCCACAGTCTGATCTTTTGCTGATTGTATGATCAGTGCTGGAAGCAACAGCACACATGCTTCAAAACAACTTTACTGAACTCTTGTACAAAGGACACAATATACACTGTATGCAGACACCAATCTCCTGAATTTTATGCCTTAAATAAAGGTTCTGCAACATGATTTATAAACTGCTACATGTACATAATGTAGTTTTGGATATAAATACATATATATCAAATAGAGAAGCCCTTATGATTAGCCCTATCTTGCTCTTGGTAATTTTGGTCATGGTAATACCAGCACACTTTTATAAACTGTGGGAAGACATGATGATTAAAACAGAGCTCTTGGCTACTCAATTCTGTATATTTTTCACAGACAAAAAAACAACCACATAAAGATTTTTGAGCTCCTCGCCCATGATAAGGAGATTTGATGGTCAACAGTATCAAAGTACTTTTTTTTCTTCAATTTTGCCAAGGAGCAAACTCTAATTCAAATCTGAAAGATAACAATCCCCTACATATATATCGGACCACACTTATGACGGCAAAGTTACCAAAAAAAAAAAAAATAAAATAAAATAAATAAATAACTAAATAATTAAACAAAAAAGCAGTAAAAAACTATTCAAAACAATGGCTCTTGTGAAAAGGTTCTAGAATGTTTCCTCTAAAAGGGCCAACCCCTGGCGTCATAAGGCAGTCTCTTCTTTTGGCCTCTCGATGACAGCACCTGCACTGCTAAAATCGTCACGCCCTATATGGTCCAGTGACACCCCAGAGCTTGCACGCTCCAGCTTGGCTTGCTGCTTGCATTCCTCCTTAACTCGTACAAGCAGACGTCGCAGTTCCCGATTGTTTGGGGCCAACCTCAGTGCTTCCAGGAGGTCCTGAAGGGCCGCTGCATAGTGCCTGTGATTGAAAGAGAAGATTTCACATTGAGGAGTTAAAAGAAGGAAAAACAGATGCTGCAGCTAGTGTTTGATCCAGATCAATGAGACATCTTTCCTCACTGGGTTACAATACTTGACATGATATCTTTATCCGGATGCATTATGAGACATTTTTTCTCTTGAGTTACTATACCTGTATTGACATTTTCACTAGCATGTGTTTACCATTGGTAGAACCATGTCTATGCACCATTTTGATTTCTTCCAAATCTTTTTATTCTGCTGATCTACATACTTGTGGGTTAAATACACAAATGACTTAGAAGGGGCAATAGTGCCATGCAAGCACATGTATTCTGTCTCACCTGTCATCTCTCTTAGCACGTGCCCTTGCATAGAAAGCTTCAAATGATTTTGGTTTCATGTCCACAGCCTTGCTGGCTAATTCCACTGCTGAACTGAAATCCTGGAAGAATGAGCAACATCCTACCTTAACATAAATAGCTGTATTTTAATATCAATTGAAACACACATAACAATCATATCCATTTTATCACAAGAAACATGCCATATGCTATTCATTTAAGTTTAAATCAAACCAAATTAAAATTAAGAATTTTAGCCAGTAGTCAAAATAAATCATCATCAAACAGGCAAAATACACATTTACTCAATTCCTCTCAAAATAAATTAACAGCTCCCAAAAACGTAACATACTGGGAAGTTCCCTACAGTACTCAGTAATAAAAATATAAATTCTGTTCATATGCTACATCTTTTACAAAAATGGTCTCTTGTATTGTTACTGCCTGAGTAAGCTGACCGGCTGGTTATGTGAGACAATCCCTAGGGTAGGTGTGGAAGCGATCGAGTGCATGAATAGCCAATGGACAATACAGACTAGGGGTAATTGCTTGTAATACTATTCAGTTTTTAACGTTATAATTTTCCAAAATACACCGCATCAAACAGTATTCCAAGAAAGAAACGGTATTATTCTATGGTATGGCAGTTATGTGTACCTTGCACCCTGCCCACCTTCTACTTGAGTGGTTCAACTTACCCCCATTTTCCTCTTGCACCTTGAGAGACTGAGCAAGAGGTTCAGTTTGAGATCCTTAAATGTGCGGACATCTTCACCAAACCCTTCCATTGGGAACTTCTTCAGAGCATACTGATACCTGTGGGCTGCGTCCTTCAGGCGGTTCTTCTACAAAAGTACATGAACAAATAAAGTCAATGTTTTATTTAATGTTTGTGTGGGGTAAATATCAACAAAATATCTTTGAGGACAAGTAATTAGTGGCATATTTTTCTTTAAGTAAATAGATATCAAAAAAAAAAAAAAAAAAAAAAA